TACGTGGCGGTTAAGGTCTCAGGGGATCAAAATTGGGGGACGGGGTGGGGGGAATTTTGTAGTTTCAGTACTGGAATTGCAGATATGACATTGTTGGACAACGATCACTTCCTTGCGGAACTCTCAAAACTCTTCCAGAAAGCTCGTCTTTCGGGGCCACGTGCCATTACCATTACGTTGAAACATTGTAAGTTTTTAATTTTCACTCAAAACAAAAAATAAAAATACGAAGCTGCTCAGGTCTGGCTTTGCCATCTGTGTTTACAGTTCAGGGATGAAACATAGACATGACAACAGCGAATGCACATACAGACTCACTTATCTGGGTATCTAAATTGGCACTTACTGCTTTCCCACAACTGACAATATTCGACTGTGTCCCTTTCATCGGCGGGCCTATAATGCCAAACAAACTTTCATAGTTTGCATCTTGAAAAGTTTCCAAAACATTCATCTGAGGGATGAAACACAGACTGATTCATACGAATATCCGTCTACAAAATGCCGTGAACTCATTTCCTCATTGATCTGGTTTTCCCTCTGACAGACATTTCACATTTCGTACTTTAAGGCGATTGTAGCAACCAGGTTGACCGTGGAAACCCTGAATGGCAAAGGTGCAATAGATTACAGCATGAAGGGACAGTATATGGGAAAGGAAGGTAAACCGAAACATTTCTTACATATAACAAATAATTCTTTGGACCCCTTACTTATTGTAATATCTTTTTCCTCCTTTTCATTGTTTCCTTTTTCTCCGGATATTTTCTTTTTAACCTTTAAAAAGTGAGATAAGTCTTCTAACATTGAGGGCATTCATGTTCACAAATGTGCGAAACTAACTGCTACATTCATGCGACTTGTAGGAACATTCGAGTAGTAAAATCGCTAATTTGGGATATCCAGGCTGATGCCAAAACCGTATTAGAACATATATATATATATATATCCCCCAATACGGTTAAGATGTTAAGAATATATTATGTTAAGGAATTTATGTTAAAAAATTTTGTTGTGTTAAAAAATTTTGTTAAGGAATTTTATGTATTTTAAGGTAAGGATTTAATAATGTTAAGAAATTTTATGTAAAAATATTGTGTAAAAATGCATAGTAGAAAGGTAGATTGAAACAGGAAGGTGAACGGAAGAGAAAATAAAATTAAAAATTAAAAAATTACCGTAAAAGTAGTAAAATTATTTTAACAAAATTATTTGTAATGGTAAGAAATGTTTCGGTCCATTAAGTCATAATATTTTGTTCATGTAAAAATATTACAAAGGAATTTTTTTCTAAGAGTATTTTACATCGTATTTTTTTGGAGGCTTAATTAACATCTGGTTAATAGATTGAGCAGAGCAGTTGCAGATGATGGACGAACGAAGCCTTATCCGAGAAATGAAACGCAACAAGCGCTGAAAGGCGAAGATCTCTGCTTGTTCCGTGCAAAACTTGGCAATAAAAAAATCAGTACTGTGGTAAGCTTTTCAATGTAATAGGAAAATATTTCAAAGTTGGAAGAAAACAAAAGCAAATAATATTATTAAGAAATTAGTAACAGTAGTAAAATATCTTAATAAAATCACTATAATCGTAAGAAATGTTTCGATTCATTAAGTCGTATACATTTCTTACCATTACCACAATTGGAACTCGTCAGTACGATGATTCTGGTAATTGGTGTAATCCTTTTTGTGTTATACAAAGGATACGATGCTTGATGTAATTTGTCGCTAAAATTTTATCAAAAAAAGTCACCAGAGATAGGGCATCCAGTGGAGATAGGGCATCCAAATTTCTCGCATACACCCCTTGACCTGTAGTGGAGTGTATGCGAGAAATTTCAAGCTACAATTAGGAAAATAGCAAGCACGGACATTTGTTGGCTTGTACGTAGGTAGCTCACATAAACCGATGATATAATGGTTTGGCACAAAACCAAAAAGAATCGCAAATAGCGAAGTTGAGGCTTGAATCGTTTTTAATAGACAGTGCTTCGCCAAACTTATATGCTAGGGGGCTGGGACCGGGACAACACGTGCATCGTTGTTCCATGATTGGAAACTGGAAATATCAGGCGCATCCACATACATACATACATACATACATACATACATACATACATACATACATACATACATACATACAT